CTTGGTTTTTCCTGAGGTACTAAACTCAAAATACAAGTTGTACTTAATCAAGATCAGTCTTTAGAAACAGTCCTCTACAATTTACCAATATTTCCCACTGAGAAAACTTTCTTTTGGGACTCCTCGATGGCTCAGTCGGTTAAGCAGCTGCCTTCGGCTCAGGTCATGATCCCAGGACCCTAGGATTGAGTCCCTCATCAGGCTCCTTGCTCAGCAGGAAGTGTGCTTCTTCTGCCCTGCTCTGCCTGCCGCTCCCCCTGCTTGTGCTCTCTCTCTCTGACAAATAAATAAAATCTTGAAAGCAAGCAAGCTAGCTTTCTTTTGATTTTTTTGGATCTTTTTTTCCTCCAACTTCCTCCCCCAACTTTCAATTTTGAAAATTTTCATACCCACAGAAAAGCTGAAAGAATATACAATGAAAATGAACACCCAGGAGCACCTGGTGGGGTAGTCGGTTGAGCATCCAACTCTTGGTTTTGGCTCAGAATGTGATCTCAGGGTCATGAGACTGAGCCCATCAGGCACCGCACTATATGTAGAGTCTGCTTAAAGTTCTTTCTCTCTCTCCCTCTGCCCCTCCTGCTCATGTTCTTTCTCTCAAATAAATAAATCTTAAAAAAAAAAAAAAAGAAATACAATGAACACCCATACTGTCTTCACCTAGATTCAGTTTTTTACATTAAGCTTTTTATTCTAAGATACTTGTTAATTCATATGCAGCTCTAAAATAATATTGAGGGGCACCTGGGTGGCTCAGTCAGTTGAGCATCCCACTCTTGATTTTGGCTCAGATCATGATCTCAGGGGTTGTGAGATTGAGCCCCACGCCGGTCTGGCCCCGTGCTTAGTGGGGAAGTCTGCTTCTCTCCCTCTGCCCCTTCCCCTGCACATGAACGTGCATTCTTTTTCTCTCTAAAATAAATAAGTCTTAAAAATAAATTGAGAGATTCTTTGTATCCTTTACCCAGTTTCCCCCAATAGTAACATCCTGCAAAACCATACTAGGGTATCACAACCAGGATGCTAACAATGTTATGGCCAAGAAACACAAATTTTCATCAACAGAAGTATCCTTCCTATTTTTTTTTTAAAGATTTTATTTATGTGACAGAGAGAGAGGGAGGGAGAGACCACAAGCAGGGGGAGGGGCAGAAGCAGGCTTCTTACTGAGCAGGGAGTCCGACGTGGAGCTCGATTCCAGGACCCCGGGATCATGACCTGAGCCGAAGGCAGACGCTTAACTGACTGAGCCACTCAGGCGCCCCTAGTATCCTTCCAATTATACTTCATAGCCACACTCACTTCCTCTCTGCCTCCCTACCCCTGGCAACCACTGATAGGTTGCTCTCCGTTTCAACAACTGTCATTTCTAGAACATTAGTTATATAAATGGAGATTCATAATTTTTAACATTTTGCCACATTTGCTTTCTCATTATTCACGTATTTCTTTCATTGAATCATTTGAAAGTAATATGACATTTAACTCCCCTACTTCAGCATGTCTCTCCTATGATTTAAAACATTCTCCTACATAACCAAAATAAAATAATCACACTAAGAAAGGTAATAATAATTCAATAGTATCATCTAACAAATAGTCCACTAATTTCATTCAAATTTCCATGATGGTTCTAAGACATGTCTTTTTTTTTTTTAAGATTTTATTTATTTATTTTGACAAAGACAGACACAATGAGAGAGGGAACACAAGCAGGGGGAGTGGGAGAGGGAGAAGCAGGCTCTCCGCTGAGCAGGGAGCCCAATGCAGGGCTCGATCCCAGGACCCTGGGATCATGACCTGAGCTGAAGGCAGATGCTCAACGACTGAGCCACCCAAGAGCCCCAGTTCTAAGACATGTCTTATAACTTTATTTTTCCTTCCCAATCCAAGGACCAATCAAGGCTCACACCTTTCCTCAGTTAAATAGCTTTTGTTTATTTTAGTCCAGAACACTGCCTTACCATTTTTTGCTTATCAAGCCACTGTTTTTTCCCTAAAGATTTTATTTATTATTTATTTGAGACAGAGAGAGTACAAGCAGGGGGAGCAGCAGGCAGAGGGAGAAGCAGAGGAAGCAGGTTCCCCACTGAGCAGGGAACACAATGCGGGGCTGATCCCAGGACCCTGGGATCATGACCTGAGCCGAAGGCAGACGCTCAACCAATTGATTGAGCCTCCCAGGCGCCCCTAGCTTAGACTCTTTAAAATAATTATTGAGGGCGCCTGGGTGGCTCAGTTGGTTGAGCGACTGCCTTCGGCTCCGGTCATGATCCTGGAGTCCCGGGATCGAGTCCCACATCGGGCTCCCTGCTCAGCGGGGAGTCTGCTTCTCCCTCTGACCCTCTTCCCTCTCGTGCTCTCTCTCTTTCATTCTCTCTCTCTCTCTCTCTCAAATAAAATCTTTAAAAAATAAATAAAATCAAATAATTATTGACTTGGGGCACCTGGGTGGCTCAGTCGGTTGAATGTCTGCCTTCGGCTCAGGTCATGATCCCAGCTGGGGTGCTGGGATCGAGCCCCGCATCAGGCTCCCTGCTCAGCGGGGATTCTGCTTCTTCCTCTGCCCCTCACCCTGCTTATGCTCTCTCTCTCTCTCAAATAAATTAAAAAAAAAAAGAGGGCGCCTGGGTGGCTCAGATGGTTAAGCTTCTGCCTTCGGCTCGGGTCATGATCCCAGGGTCCTGGGATGGAGTCCCGCATCGGGCTCCCTGCTCCTTGGGAGCCTGCTTCTCCCTCTGCTTCTCTCTCTCTCTCTCTCTCTCCCTCTCTCTCTCCCCCTGTCTCTCATGAATAAATAAAATCTTAAAAAAAAAAGAAATATATATTTCAAAAAAAAAATTAAAAAATTAAAAAAAATTAAAAAAAAAAAGAGCCAAAGCTAGTTGCCTTGTAGAATGTTCCAAATTCTGGGTTTATCTGATTGTTTCCTCATGCATACAGTCTAACATTTATGGCAAGAGTATTATGTCAGTGATATAAATATTAGTCATTTTTATTTTTTTGAATATTAATCATTTTAAAAGTTTTTTTAATTTATTAATTGACAGAGAGAGATCACGGCAGAGGGAGAGGGAGAAGCACACTCCCCACCGAGCAGAGAGCCCAATGCAGGGCTCAATCTCAGGACCCTGGGATCAAGACCTGAGCCAAAGGCAGATGCTTAATCAACTGAGCCACCCAGGTACCCCAAATATTAATCATTTTTAATGTTAATACTTTAAATTGCTTTAAAAATCTAACTTTTCTTTTAAAAAGGTGTCTTTTATGTTTCAATATCTCCCAAAGAACATTCTGGTTTTTTAGTTTTACTCACCAACAAAAGCTCCAGGCATCATTAATGGAATACCAATAAAAAGAATATGACCATTGCACGAGTATGATGCAATGGGCTGCAAACATAGACATGTGAGGGTGATGCCACTGTTTATGACTCAGAATAAAGAATTCTTTAAACTATCAAAATCTTGTGATATTTGAATTTTTTTTTTAAAGATTTTATTTATTTGACAGAGACAGACACAGCAAGAGCGGGAACACAAGCAGGGGGAGTGGGAGAGAGAGAAGCAGGCTTCCTGCCGAGCAGAGAGCCCGATGCGGGGCTCAATTCCAGGACCCTGGGATTGTGACCTGAGCCAAAGGCAGACGCTTAACGACTGAGCCACCCAGGCGCCCCGATATTTGAATTTCTTATATAGATTTTTTTTTCCAGATAGAATTGTTGCTTCAGCCTTGAATCCAAAGACCTCCAAAGCTTGAACCCAGGTGCAAAATGGGGATAAGAAAACATTTTTTAGAGTTACTGGGAGGCTTTAAGAATATATGTGAAGTGATTGAAATGTATCTGGCAGACAAAGTCCCCATATGTGGCATGGTAGTACAGACTTTATTACTTTCAACATACAGACAGGACCAGGTAGTACAATGAGGTGGAGACAATACCTGGAAATAAAATACGATGACCAAAACTCTAGTGCCACTTTTGAAATTAAACAGATACAGAAATGGAACTGGGGCAAATGTCAGCTTCCCTATTTACTAAAATGAGCATCTATATTAGATGGCTTTTAGGGTACCCTCCAACTCAGAAATTCAGTCCACCCAAACAAGCTTCTATAAAGAAACATCTATGTTTGTTCACAACGCAACACATATCTAACTAAGGTATCAGTGGAAGACAAATCTCCACATGGGGGGAAATGGCAGATCATCTTGTCCCCCAAATTTACTACTCAATAATTCCTACAACCACTACCATTACCATCAGCCCAAGTTTCTCAGAAGACATTGTTCACTCTTTAACTTTGGCCATGGTGAACACGGAACACTTGCCTGGGAGTTATTTTTTTAACTGTGATAGTTTGGCTTATTGTGATAAATTCAAGCCATGCATTCAATTAATAAATAGCTGAGAGACTACTATAGGTCAAGCATTGTTCTAAGTGCTTGGGATGTAAATGTGAATCACACAGACAAGGTTCCAGCACTTGTGAAACTAAGAGACTCTGTGGGGAGGTAAGATATAAATACATGACTCCAGATGTGAATAATGCTATGACAATAATAGGGGGCTGTGAAAGAGAGGGAGTGGGGATGGGAGGTGAGGCTGGACCTAAATCAGAAGGTAGGCATGGAAGTCCTGAGGAAATAGGGCTCCATGTGTAAACTGCTTGCAGTTCTGAAACAACCATCATTCTTTCCAGCCCCTACTATGCCAAGTTCTATCTTGAGAAACTATTTGCTTCTCCATCTTATACTACCCGCAATTTCTGCCTAACTGTAACAATAGCATCCAGCCTTTATTGAGCACTCACTATGTGTTAGGCATGTAAGCACCTCAAATAGCTTAAACTCATTTAATTTTCAAATCAATCCTTCAGGAGTCTAGTGACTGCAAGATGCATACAGGGAGCTTCTGGGTGTGTGAGGAGTCATTAAACTCTATTTACATTCATGATGTGGGCTTTTTTTTTTTTTTGGTTAACATTCCAAATATATATAAAAATATGGAACACTTCACGAATTTGCCTGTCATCGTCACACAGGGGCCATGCTAATCTTCTCTGTATCACTCCAATTTTAGTGTATGTGCTGCTGAAGCAAGCACGATGTGGACATTTTTGATAACTATCTAGAAACCTATATATTCCAAGAGCATTTCAAAGAACCAGTCCTCCACAGAGCTGACTCCGAGAGCCCTGGCCAGGCACATGTTGGCAGTCAGTAAAGACTCCCAATTTCCCTCTCTCAAGAGGGAAACACAGTGCAATGAAAGCAGTATAAGCCTTGGAATCAGTCACATCTCCGGTACGGTCTCCCCTTGGCTATCTCTCTGCTTGAAGATGCTAAATAAATATTACCTCCCTTCCCCTTTCCTTTTGACAAAACAACTAAAGATTCTTGCAGTTTCTCACCAATGGAGCCAGCACTGGTAGATTGCACACTCTTTTGAGAATCACCACTTAACACCAAGAACAAAATATAACTTGTGCTTAAGTGAACTTATCAAAGACTTAGATCTGCTCTACAAAGAAAAGGTATTCTGGTATTTGGGTTTTTTAGTATTACTTCTGATAATTAAAGTTAGCAGATAAGGGGCACCTGGCTGGCTCAGTCAGAAGAGCATGTGACTCTTGATCTCGGGGGGGTCATGAGTTTGAGTCCCACACTGGGATACTTATATATATACTTAAATATATAAAACTTTCAAAATATATAAGATAAATGAAAAAAAGAGTTAGCAGATAAATTAGTATTTCATTTCCACTTCAGCATACAGATAAGTAAGAATTGAGTCCTAACAGGGAGGAGGAAAATGAATAGTTTATTAGAGAAAGTTTAAAAGGACACTATTAGGGGCACCTGGCTGGCTCCATTGGTGGATCGACTCTTGATCTCAGGGTTTGTGGGTTCAAGCCCCTTGTTGGGTGCAGAGATTACTTGCTTTTTCTTAAGATTTTAACTATTTATTAGAGAGGGAGAGAGTAAGCAAGCACAAGTGGGTGGAGGGGCAGAGGGAGCAGCAGACTCCCCGCTGAGCAGGGAGCCTGACGTGGGGTTCAATCCCAGCACCCTAGGATCATGACCTGAACCAAAGGCAGATGCTTAACCAACTGTGCCACCGAGGCGCTCCAGGTGTAGAGATTACTGAAAACATAAAATCTTAAAAAAAAAAAAAGGATAGCTTTTTCTTTAGAAAGCCGTGACAATGAGTTATTGTTAACCTGTTTACACAATATATCTGTTTTGCAAAACTTTAGGTGCATAATAACAGTAAGGACCAATTACTTTTATTTATTTACTATTATAATTTTTTAAGATTTTATTTTGGGAGCACCTGCTGGCTCAGTTGGTAGACATGTGACTATTGATCTGGGGGTTGTGAATTCGACTCCCAAGCTGGGTGTAGAGATTACTTAAAAATAAAATCTTGGGGCACCTGGGTGGTTCAGTTGTTAGTCATCTGCCTTCGGCTCAGGTCATGATCCCAGGGTCCTGGGATCGAGTCCCGCATAGGGCTTCCTGCTCAGCGGGAAGCCTGCTTCTCCCTCTCCCACTCCCCCTGCTTGTGTTCCCTCTCTCGTTGTGTCTCTGTCAAATAAATAAAATCTCCTTTAAAAAATAAATAAATAAAGGGCGCCTGGGTGGCTCAGTTGGTTAAGCGATTGCCTTTGGCTCAGGTCATGATCCTGGAGTCCCGGGATCGAGTCCCACATCGGGCTGCCTGCTCAGCAGGGAGTCTGCTTCTCCCTCTGACCCTCTTCCCTCTCGTGCTATCTCTCATTCTCTCTCAAATAAATAAATAAAATCTTTAAAAAAAAGATAAAAATAAATAAAATATTTATTTATTTTGGATTTGAAAAAAAAAGATGTTATTTCAGAGAGAAAGAGCACGCATGTGAGCAGGGGGAGGAGCAGAGGGAGAGGGGCAAGCAGACTCTGCACTGAGCCTGGAGCCCTATGTGGAGCTCAATCCCATGATCCTAAGATCATGACCTGAAACGAAATCAAAAGTTGGACATTTAATGGACTGAGCTACACAGGTGCCCCAGATTTTATTTTTAAAGTAATCTCTACACCCAACTTGAACTCACAACCTTGAGATCAAGAGTCGCATGCTCTATTGATTGAGCCAGCCAGGTGCCCCAGAACCAATTACTTGTAAATGTGTAAAAATAGGACACAGGATTTCAGGACTCCAGAAATCAAAGAATGAGTTTAGAGTGAAGCAGAACCCTCAACTGCATGTACATCTGTCATAAAATTTTAACAATGAACACAAACACTTTAAAAAATTTTAGGAAACCCTAAGTGTTTACAACATTTATCTTCCCTCATAAGGAAGTACACAAAATTTAAACCAAATGCCAAAATTTCTTAATGTGCCATCAAGTTATCTCCATAGCTTCTTCTAAAATATACCCTCTCTAGGTTATATTCTTTTATGGGACCTCTGGGCCCAACTGCCAAAGAGTGATTTATATATACTATGAAGCAGGGGGAAATAACCCAATAATTCACCAATGCACTGAAGAGTTTAAGCTTCTACTTTCCTCCAGGAACTGTAAAAGCCTCCTATAATCCTCCAGGTAAAGAGAGAAGCGAACTTTAAGAGAAATAAATAAGCTAGACTCTAAGGCTTACAAGAGACTCTAAAATTCTCATTTCTACAGATATTTTGGAGAACTAAGCCCAAAGAGTAGCCTTTTCTAAGTTAACCAACCATTATTTTATCTGCATTTTTACTTCAAGATAAAACTTTAAAACAAAAATACTCCAATGGGATTACTATTTTTATTTTCCATTATATTCTTGTTTTCTGTAAGGAATGGGTGTTATTTTCATAATCAGTTTTTAAAACAGTATTTGTAACTGCTGAGTTCTTACCAGAAAGAGTCTGCACATAATTCCATAATGTGTCTTTATTTGTCCAAAAGTAGTCTCCATTGCCAATTGTAAGAGTGTATGGCCGTTCATCCATAAGCTTGACTTTCCTTCTACTCTGGCCTAACGAACATGTCTGACCTTCCAGGCGCACAGAGCTCTTAGGAGCAAAAGCCTTGACACCCTTTAAGCCAACAGGCTTCATTTTGAACCAAACAATTGATTTTAGGTTTGAACTAAGTAGAAAAGAAATACACTGCTATTTCAAAACTGAAAGAAGTCAGTTAACTGAAAAAGCACAGTAACATTCTAATACAGAATGTTAACAACTGAAATCTGATTGGAGGAGGGTCTTCCACACAAGCTACACTTTTCAAAATATAACTCCAATGATGTTCAAGAAAAGACATTTTTTTCCAAAGAAATAAGGAATGTTAAAGACTAAGAAAACCTACTAGTATGGTCACAAAGTAGTATTAATGCCTTTGGGAAGACAAGTTTTAAAAAAGGATGCCGTTTCAAAGAAACATCATTCAGGTTTGCCAAAGTCACCATGTAACTGAAGTTCACACACCTCACCTGTGGTTTTCTAACACTTGAACAAGTGTCTCTGACTTACCAAAACCCTACACATATAACAGCTGTGATTACTACACAGCTCAGAGAAATAATATGTGGCCAGCAATGCCTCAGACTTGAGTACCCTGTCCAGCACTACAGAAATAAAGGAAGAGAATATCAAGAATCAATAATAGGGGTGCCTGGGTGGCTCAGGTCATGATCCCAGGGTCCTGGGATGGAGCTCTGCATCGGGCTCCCTGCTCCACGGGAAGCCTGCTCCTCCTCTCCCACTCCCCCTGCTCGTGTTCCCTCTCTCGCTGTCTCTCTGTCAAATAAATAAATCAAATCTTAAAAAAAAAAAAAAAAGACTCTAGGGAGCCTGGGTGGTTCAGTTGTTAAGTGTCTGCCTTTGGCTCAGGTCATGATCCCAGAGTCCTGGGATCAAGCCCCACATTGGGCTCCCTGCTCAGCAGGAAGCCTGCTTCTACCTCTCCAACTCCCCCTGCTTGTTTTCCCTCTTCTGCTTTGTTTCTCTCTGTCAAATAAATAAATCTTTAAAAAAAAAAAAAAAAGAATCAACAATAACATGCTTTGGAAAAGACAAGCAAAGCAGACCTCTACCATGCTGAGTATTTTTTTAAGATTTTAAGGAATCGCTACACCCATTGTGGGGCTCAAAAAACCTCAAGATCAAGATCACACTCCACTGACTGCCAGTCAGGCACCCCTGCTGAGGAGTATTTTAATTTTCATACTGGAGAGTTTTTATGCACAGAAAAGAGATTTACTCTAGTTTTCAAATTATTAATACTTGATTTATTAATGTTATAAATTCAGAAAGCCTAGATTTCCCTTAAGCTTTTACATTCAACTTAGACTTTTTTTAAGATTTTATTTGTGAGAGAGAGAGAGAGTAAGCACGCATAAGCAGAGGGAGAGGGAAAAGCACGCTCCCCGCTGAGCAAAGAGCCGGATGTGGGACTCAATCCCAGGATTCTGGGATTATGACCTGAGCTGAAGGCAGATGCTTAACCAACTGAGCCACCTGTCCCACCTTTTTCTTTTTTAAGATTTTATTTTTAAGTAGTCTCTATGTCCAATGTGGGGCTTGTACTTACAACCCCAAGATCAAGATTTGCATGCTCTACCAACTGAGCCAGCCAGGTACTCCACAACTTAGACATTCTATTTGGGGTTTTAATTTTAAAGGGCTGTGATGAATGTTTGATCTCCCTTACAAAGTTAGACACATTCAGACATAAAATTTTTACTACTTTAATATATTCAATTTAAATACAGTTGACTTGAAAAGAAAATTTTCTGAGAACTTTAAATAACTTATAAATCTAAAAAAATTTAACTTATGAAAATAGTGACTCAGGTACTCTTTAATGTCCATGCAAAAATATATAGTTAAGGTTTCAACTTAAGTTCACAAGTACAAATCAACTATACACTCAATTATATATTTAAAATTGGAATCGTAAGACCAATACATTACTCTAAATTCCTAAACATTAAAGACACTTGAGATATCAAATGTAGGTCACTATTATATCAACTCCTTATCCTGAAAACTAGTAAATGAAAAGGATGAATTTTCAAGTTTTTTAACATTTAACATGCCTTTCTGGGAAGAGTTATAGTTCATTCCCAGTTGAT